TTCCTGGAAGAATGGTGGTGACCTTCAGGCAAATAGTAAAGTCAATATAAGTAAAGAGCTTGCCCCCTTGGGGTGGGTTGCAGAAGAGATAATGATCTCTGGTTTGACATGTTAATTTTCCTAACAAGGCCTGAATCTGTTGTGAGCACCTACTTTAATAGTCCAAGTGAATGCCTGTTGAAAGAAATCCAATAAGCACTTGGCTTTCCTTAGAACTTGCTTAACTAGTTCACGATAACTTGAATCTGTTGGTCACTTATTTTATGCAAGCTGGCTTTTGGCAATCTGCTCAGCTGTCCTCTGAATGACCTCAGCAGATCTGCTGACCACTATTCACATATGCCCTGACCACTGAGGGAAGGAAAATTCCAATCTGGAGATGGAGCTTTCTGGTCTGGGTTTTACTTCTGAAAGGGCCACATGTATGTGAGGCACAACTTTAGATTGGAAACTTTTTATGCTGCGATATTTAAAGTGAAAGAAAGTCTATATAGGTAAATGTCAGTGATAAAGTTCCTTGTCAATGACCTCCTGAATTCTATGAAATCTAGGAGTCAAGATGCCCACTTGTCAATCCTCCACGGTGGAATATTCTACAGATATTCCGTCACGCACATTTGGAGTGATCGATCTCCTAAATAGCCAAAACATTATGGAGACCAAACTGCGTCATAAAAATGGAAACTACCATTTGTTAAAAACACTCTGTTTATCAATGCTCCCCAGCATGTCCTTAGAAGCTATGAAATTAAATTCACACCTTTAGGAAAAGGATCGAAGGTGTGTGTGTGTATACACACTCAGAGACATACTTCAGAGCCATCCCCAAATAGTCCATCCTTCACAGACATTGTCAACTCTTCAACAGCAAGCAATAATAACATTTTTTAAAAACATTTAAAAATGGCTTCTAAAAAGTGAGTGAGGAGACTTTATTCAGTGAAAAACAGAGCAGTGATTTAGAAAGCAGATTTTAACGGTCTAGGTTGGAATATAATCCAGTCATGGGGGTTCTCACTGCCTCTCTCAGTGGCTGAGGTAACTAGTCTCCAAAGATGGCTCCCACCAATTCCTCCCGTCCCAGAGGTGCAAGCTGAATACATGGAGACGTCCAGCTCTCTCGACTCTGGGCTGGTTTTGTGACTTGCTTTAATCAACAGAATGAGGCAAAAGTGACTTCTTGGACTTTTGAGCCTAGGTCTTCATTGGCCTGACAGCTTCTACTTCCTCTCTTAGAAACCAGCCACCATGTGAAAAGTTTGACTTCCTAGCTGGAAAGAGAGGCTAGAAGCCCTCTTGGTCATCTGAGCCCAGCTGAGCTCCCAGCTAAATGCAGCTACCTGGGTGAGCCCAGGCACCCTACAGAATTGTGAAAAGTAATAAATCGGTGCTTATTTCAGGCTGCTAAGTGTGGCATTCTTTCTTAGGAGGCAATGAGTTACAAACAGTGGGTGACAAAGATATCAAATGGTTAAAAGTGAGCCAGATCTGCTTTTCACCTGTGACTGTGATCATATTGGGATTTTGTACACTCACTCTGCCTGCAAACTAAAATTTACATGGAGAAACACAGATAGGACCTCCTCTTGTCATAGACAAACTCAAGCATTCAGTTGCATCTGGGATACAAGCACTGAGGTTCACACTGCACTTTGACAATTCTAGAGCCCCGTGGGACTAGCCAAATCTATCTCCCTTGACCGGTTCAAGAAGCTCTCTCCCTCCTTGTTCTGCTTTATCTAACACCATGCCACAAACCCACAAATGTTTATGCTGGAGAGTAACGAGATGATGAATGCCTGAGTGGATGAAACTTCAGTATGAGTACCAGGAGGATGACAAAAAAACTAGCAGAGGTCTTGAACGCACTTTACGACATGGACTGCGTGGAGCCACAAACATAACAATGACTGTGCTGGCTTGGGGTGGACTGAATTGTTAGCTCTAATTTTTTTAAATAACCTTTTATTTATTTATATTTATTTATTCTTCGAGAGAGAGAGAGCACACGTGCAACTGGGTGAGGGGTAAACAGAGAGGGAGAGCATCTTAAGCAGAGCGTGGAGCTTGATGTGGGACAAGATCATGACCTGAGGAGAAATCCAGGGTTGGACGCTTAACCAACGGAGCCACCCAGGCACCCCATGTTAGCCCCAATTCTTGACCTCTGTATCCACATCCTTGTCACTAATGCACTGTGGTCAGATATATTTCTCTGCCTCTTGTCTTTGAGCCTGTTCCTGTGACTTTCTTTGGCTACTCAAATGTGGGTGCAAGTGACGGTGTGCCAGATATAAGCCCAAGGTTAAGAGGCATCTTGTGTACTGCTTGCACTTACACCCTCTGCGAAAGACAGCATATCCGCCCTTCCTCCCGCAGCCCGCTGGTCCCAGGAGGAAGATGAGAAAGACGTACAGCAGAGCCACTCCAGCTGACTCACCAGCTCGTGATCAAGAAAGACATGCTCATTGTTGAATACCACTGAGATCTTGAGGTTGTCCAATACCCAGCGATAGGTGACTAATACAAGGTTCCTTTATTAGATGCCAACATTTGCCAAACGCACATGGTACTTTAGAATAACAAAGCCTCCTCGCCTATAAAAGCTGAAACTAAATCACCAACTGGATGGTTAAGTGGTCTCACTGCCAGGCTGTATAGAAGTACAATATATCAGATATCACTGGTTTTTGCTCTTAGTTTATCCTTCCAAAGATTGTAATTTGGTATTCAAATTTCTCTATAATTTAACCCTAACTTAAGTTTTCTAGCCAATTCTCTCACTTAAATTTTATATTCCATTCAAACTGGATTATTTCTAATTCTTGAGTAAGTCTCACGTTACCTCTAACCTTTCCTCATCCAGTACCTTCCGGTACCCTTCATCTGACAGGCTTAGATTCTTCTGGTCCTTTAAGGCCAGGTTCAGATGTCACCTTTATAAGAAATCTGCTCTGATCCCACCTTTTAAGGCAGTCTCTCCATGCCCCTGACTCTCATCACAATGTATGTCTTTTCCTTTTCTGGTATTTGCCCTATTCTGCCTCAAAACATTTTCCTCATCCTCTTAGAAAGTCCTAGAAAGGACTTTCTAGGAGGTTTATGTCTTACTCAGCCCTGAATCCTCCAGGGCAGTTAGTAAAAGGTCTTGGCCCATAGTGTACAGGCCAGTCAATATGTTTTCGCACTGAAGAATGAGTGGCTGATGGGATGCAGCAAGGCAAGTGGGAACAACATCAAGAAAGCAACAGGGACTCTGGCATAGAGACACCTGAGTCTATGGCTTCGTAGCTGGGCATCTAGGGACCAGTTAGTTTCTCTGTCTTTCAACTTCCAAACATGTAAGATCGGGATGACACGTCTTTCATAGAACTGTTGTGAAAATTCACCATGAAAATGAATTTAAATACTTCTGCATATTTGACATATGGTGGCTGTTCCATTATGGTAGCTCTTATTACAAAAACGATAACGACACAGAATATCATCTAGAAGTTAGTTCGAATAAATCCTTGACACTAGATTATCACTAGATTATTATGTTCTCTCATTACTTTTAAGTTTACTTATTTATTTTGAGGAAGGGAGGGGGCAGAGAGTGAGAGAGAGAATCCTGAGCAGGCTCCGAACTGTCAGCACAGAGCCCAACATGGCGCTCGAACCCACAAACCACGATCATGACCCCAGCCGAAGTCGGACGCTTAACCGACTGAGACACCAGGCGCCCCCACCATTCAAAATTTTATAGGCAGTCACCACTAGAAGTAAATCTGTTCCAGGCAACAAATACATTTCCTTAAAATGACACAAAACAAAATCCTCCTCCCCTACATACTAGTCCACTTTCAGCAGAGCATTAGTCTTCCCACAGCACACCAATTCTTCACCAGGGACCCACACGACCATTACAATGGACCAAAATTGGCAGAATTACATGACAGTGACCGGACGGTGCCCTTCAGTTGTTTGTATGTAAACACGATTTCAGCAAGGTTCTTTATCGAACAAGAAAGAGGCACTCGTTCAGAGGACTGTCATGAACGTGTCCGGGAGCGGGTTATCATTGTTGAAGTGATTCAGCAGAACTGCTTCACCTGCCTCACTCACTCGGGTTTTGTACTAAGCTACAGCCATGTGGCATCGGAAGCACAGCTGACTGTCCAAGGAACAAACTCATGTCTAGGCAAACTCCGAAGCCTGTAGGTGGCCCGGTAGGTGACGTTAATGCGTGAATGGGGACTTGACGTGCATTCAAGAGCAGGCTCAACAGTTCCCTGGAGGCCACAGCCTGACTGAAGGGGCAACTGCTACCTCACCCCACTGTTGCTTCAGCCAGTATAGCCAGATTTTCTGAAGAAATTTGGGATTTTACATGAAACATCCTGATTTTTTAAATGCTGCCTTGCTTTTTACTTTATAATTCTCTGGGAGCCAAAGAAAACATACTTGCAAGCCAGACGTGGCCATGAGTTGGCAGGCTGTAATCTTTGCACTGGATATTCTAAAGTCACTTTGCATCGTCAAAGACAGGTTTAAAGACGATTATTACGTTCATTGTGTTTGTATTTTTTTAATCTGAAAATTTATAATTCACATAAAAAGTAACTATTAGGCCTAAAAAATACCTCATTCTCTTATGCATAAATCCTCACTCGCTCTACTTTTGGACCTCTGTGTTTTTGGTCATACAGTGCTCTCTGCCTGGACGCCCTGTGGCTGGTGTCCCATGTACCAATTTAAGTCCTACGGGTTATTTAAAACTTGATTTCAATGCTAGCTTCTGTATAAAATCTCCATAATCGTCCTCAAAATCCTGTATATATAAGTTATTATGAAAATTGCGCCATGTAAAAGATGCGCGTTGATTTCTAGCCATATCTCATCAGCCCTTTACCAGCAGCCCCCAAAAGATGCAACACCAATAACGCTACAAATATTCACTCCCGAGAAAGTGAAAGGCCTGGGTCACCGGGTCAAGAGCAAAGTTCAATGGCACTCACCGCCAAACACATCTCCGTTCTGGTAGTTCTTCCCTTTCTGGGCTTCCTCTTCATTTTGAACAGTGGCAACATGCTTGGCGGAGGCACAGCCCATAGTCTCATTCGGTCAGCTTCAGCCGGGCTGAACTGCAAATCATCTCTACAGACACGGGGACATTTTTTTTTTCTTTAAACACAAAGAAAATCCACCTTCCTGCTGAGTCGGTCAGGACGTGCGCACCTGGGAGAACAGAAAGCTAGATCAGAATGAGTGAAAACAAAACCTCTGTGTGATCAGCAAAGCACTAGGATTCCTGCAAGAGCCCGCTGCACTGGGGGGTGGGGGATTGGGGGATGGACAATTGTGCTGAAGAAGGAAATGCAATAGGGCCTGTTCTCATCTGATTCTCACTCAGAAAGCAAGACCAGAAGGCACGCCCCCTGCACAACACATGGCTGAACTTTTTGAGGACATAATAAAAAATGTGTATTTGTTTATTCAAATAAATATTTGAGCACTACTACCTGCCACACAGAAAGTGCACGTATGTTTGCTAATGTTCTGGAATCTCAAAAACCTCCAGAGTGAGGAAAGCACAGACAGCCATGAGATCTACCCAGTTCAGGAAACTGGGAAAAATTCTCCATCTTCCCGCTCCTGCCTTGCAAGCCAGCTCTTCTCAGATGCACCATGGCGCCCCGGATTCGCCCCCCCGGAGCAAATGGCCTTCCTCCTCAGGCTAATTTATACATTTTTGGTGGGTTCTGTAAGGAATTCTATATTTTATTTTACCTGAGGTGACAGTGTTTTGGAAGATAAAGGAGGAAGATGGGGGCAAGGATTTAAACTTACTTTTCTCTGTTTTCTGCTTAGCTAGCAGAATGCTTTAAGGATTGACCAGATGTAGGAAGATCAAGAGAAGAAAACAAAGCAATTGCCCACCTCGTATCAGAGCCTCTGTGCTTCTACTGGACCACTCATAAAGACTGAAAGAGAATTTATGGATAAACCACAATAGAGATGGTCCTCTAGTTAACTTCAGTAAATATACCTTCCCTGCCCCACCCAAGGTCACTGCCCAGATTCTCAAGGGTTTGCTCTGTCTTTATTTTTCACCATCCTTTTCAAGCCATTCCAGAGGCGACTTACTCCAGTCTCGTGGAGGCCTCCTTTGAACATCTGCCCATTCCTTCATCTCCATCCATCCCACTGTAGGACAGGCCCTTACCTCCTCACACCCAAGCAGAGCAGAAGAATCGTGAAGCCATGCACTTGACCTGCACTGGCACCCGTGTCTCCCTACCCACCTCTCCCCTTCATGAACAACTGGTGTTTCTCAGCCTCAGGAGCAGTGGGTACGGAAACTGAAATGCAGCTACAGGCTTTCTCTTCCAACAAGACTGCTGCCCCTAAGCCTCCTTCCTAGAGCTCTAAGGACACCCAGGGACACAGAAATCTAATCATTTAAGCCATAACATCTCAGCAAAGGAAAATGTTCAAATTAACCGAACGTTGAAAGGTAATTCCAAATCAATTTCATAAACAAGCTTAGATATAAAAGTAAGGATCTTAAATGAAGGCAAGCAAATGCAAAATGCAATACTGACTCTATGGCTATAATACTAGTCATATACTTTGTATAGTTCTTCATAGTATTTTCTAGCACTGGTTCCGTCAAATCATTAACAGGAAGTATAGGGTTAGTAAAGTTTTACCAAAAAGGAAGATTATTTTTCCCTAGATCATTAATGTTTGTAGTTTCTCTACACAGGTAACCTCTTGTTAGCACATTTTCATATTTTTAAGGCTATATGGAGCACACACACACACACACACACACACAACACACTTAGCAGTAATGCCATTAAAGCTACAGTATTTTGATTTTTTTCTTAACAGTAGTTTAATTTGCTGGTCTATTCATACTGGTCTATATAGCTCAGGGGCCTGATGGGGGAAGTGCACATGGAAGAGGCATTTTTTTAAAAAACTTACACAATAGAGTGTAGTAAGTTCCATGATAGAGGTTTCACAGGAATCTATGGCAATGCAGAATTTAAAAAACAAACATTAAATTATGACTGGGTAAAGGCAGGAATTAAAAGAGGAAGTAGTATTTTGTAGAGACTTAAAAGTCTGGTACAAATCTGCAAGGCTGAAAGGACACTAGCATCATCTTGCTATAAAGAACCGCCAGAGGAAAGACACTAGAACGTGGAAGAGCGCAGCATGCGTGTGCACGTGTGCGTGAGAGTGCGCGTGTGCCTGCGCGCGCATGCAAGAGTCCATACTAACCCTTCTCTCGCGGGACAAAGTGGGAGCAGGGCAGGGAAGGGGACTGCGCTGCTGATGCTTTGTGAAGGGGCTGGAGGAGGCCCTGCTGACTTTATCCTACTTGAAGATAAGGAAGTCTCTCTGGTGCAAATCTGAGCGCACTTTGAGAGGTATTACATTAGGAGCGCGGAAATCCATTCTGTCAACCTACCATAGTTTTTGAAGAAACATCACTGAAATATGAGACAAGAAGAACAGGAGATGGGATTCAGTTCCAAAGGCAGAAGAAAGGGAACATTCCTCTCCAGCCAAGGGGCTGCTGCTGCTGCTGCTGCTGCTATGTGCTCCCGCCAGCACTTTCTCCTTGATTCCCACCTCCAGCATCACCATGTAACAGGTGTGGCCTCCCAGCACGACTTCCTTACTTTTTAAAAAGGAATGTGGGGAAACAAGCTCACAGGCACACAGGAGAGCAAACTGGAGAGGGGAAACCTCCCATCACCTCCCTGTCGGCTGCCACCTCTTCAAAGCAAAGTAAAACCAGAAGGAAAGTAGGAAACTCGAACAACAATCCCCCAAGGACAGTGGTGATCCAGAGGCAACTTAATCGTCCTCTCTGGGAGTCCCTCTCACTTTTCTCTTCCTCGTTCCACATTCATGTTTACAGCCTCGTATGCTATCCAAGAAGTTAATGTAAGAGTATAAGATGTGAATTTTCCTTTGCTACCCACTGAAAAGCATTGTGTGGTGTTTCTTCTGTGTTTTAAAGGCTGTGTTTATATCAGAAAGTCTTCTCTAAATTTAAAAAGTGGAAATCACACGAAAATCAAAAAAACTGCAAAAGGCTTACAAAAATAAGACACGTAAGAATAACTTTTAGAAGGACTTCTCTGTTATCCAGGCATGGGAGTGAGGAACATGTTAATAAGCAGATTAGACATGATTTACATCCAATTCGAGTGATGACTCAGGAAGCTTCCATTTAATTATATATTTTAGAATTTTTAATGTTTATTTATTTATTTTGAGAGAGAGTGGGCATGCAGGTGGGGGGCGGGGGAGGGTGTGGGGGAGAAGGGCAGAGAGAGGAGAGAATCCCAGGCAGGCTCCCCGTTCAGCGCAGAGCCTGACACAGGGTTCAATGTTGGGCTCGATTCCATGACCATGAGATCATGACCTGAGCCAAAATCAAGAATCGATGCTTAACCGACTGAGCCACCTTGGCACTCCTTTATTGTATTTTTAAAAAGGCGCTGTTGCTCAAGAGGAGTTCTCTCCAAATTGTAAGTAGAGATTTTGTTTTTGAAACATAGGCACTCTGTATTTTACAGCAGTAATTTGATGAGTGGTGTTTTCAAGTTTTACAACTTTGTCAAAAACATATTTTAATATTTTGCCCATTTTGCAGGCTAGAATTATGAAGTCACCTGAGAGGCAGAAGGTCTGTAATTCATAAAGTTAACCATGGATCAGTGGGGAAAGCTTTTTACTATGTCATCTGGATCCTGCACAGAGACAATTGCCCAATCATTTGTTCATTTAATCAACAGATATTTACTGAAAACTGCTACGTGTTTACAGATGAACAAGATACAGCGTTCCTCCCTACCCCCATAGGAAGATGAACATTTGGAGAAAAGAATGACCAGTTTCACAGTGGTGCTGATAGAGCTGCTGCAGGTTAAATATAGAGAGGTGAATTCACCCCGCAGGCACCTGATTCAGCCTCGAGAGAGGGAATGGCAAGAGAGGTCAGGCTTGAGGCCAGTTGAAAAATCATCATTAAGACACCCCCAAACTGCATCTCTTTTCATAGCCTGATGGAATGTCAAGGTCTCATTTCTACTGAAAACTCTCTCACTTTGACCTCGTTCCAACCGAGCCCTCAAGCTGAGCAGATCCTCAGAAATGTACCCCTAGAGTCTGCCACAATCATCTGCTCCCAATCACCTCCCTCTGTTTGGTAGTATCCTTCACAGAATCCTTAGTTTTTTGGGTTTTTATTTTTTTGCTTCCATTTTTCCATTGGCTTTGCTCGGCTTTTCTCTGCCAACCTCCACACCTTCTGTCCACTCCCCTTCCTGAAACCACACCACTTAGCGAGGTAAGTCTGAGGGTGCAAATGAACATGCAGAGACCACAAAGCTAGACAGAGCAGCCTCGTCTCCACATATTGTTATTAACAGCATGCTATTTCTGAAGTCAGGTCACAGTGTGAGAATTAACCTGAAGTATCTCTTTGATGTCTGATAGAATCTTATAATACCAAGCCCAGTAAGGATGGTTTTAAAAACTAAATAATCTATATCATCAGGCACCTCTAAAAACATGGGATCCAATTAATTGTCCATGGCTTTGTGCAAAAGTCTCCCCAAATGGTTGTGTGGGTACATTACCCTGCACCATGAAATTAGAAGTTGTAATCCCTATTCACGGCACTATGAGCCAACTGAATTTGGGACCATCTTTATAGGGTATTTTTCCTGCTTTTGATAAATAAAATACATTAGCAAATTTGAAAATCCATTAAAGTATTTTTAAAAAGGACTAAAATAGGACACCTGGGTGACTCAGTGGTTGAGCGTCCGACTTTGGCTCAGGTCATGATCTCATGGTTTGTGAGTTCGAGCCCCACATTGTGCTTACTGCTGTCAGCGCAGATCCTCTGTCCCCCTTTCTCTCTGCCCCTCCCCGCCATGCACACATGCACGCTCTCTCTCCCTCAAAAATATATAAACATTAAAAAAAAGAAAAAGGACTAAAATATTTGTAACCATGCATGTTTATCATTCCTCCCCTTACACTATGCTTCAAGCCTCTTTAGGTAATGCTGTAAGTATTACTTACTAGTGTAACTATCCCTAGGGTATTGCTGTTTGAGAACAGCCCACATTGTAACATGAGAAAGTTCTTTTCTATACACAATAAGTCCATTATCTATTAATACATATCACATACATGTGATACATTTGTCTTTTTATAAGAAAAG